GAATTCTATTCCATCCCTTAGGATAAACTAGCGGCATCACTGAAGGACTAGGCTGGGCCAGGTCACACACAGTGGTGCAGGGAAATTAAAGATCACAGGTTGTTACTAGGATCATGGCTTCTGGTCATAAACCTTGTCCTGAACTGCTTCTCAGCCTTTTGGCCAAGACCAAGTGTATAAATCTTGTCCAGTAATCTCAGACTGCCACTGAGTATTCATTACTTGGGCATTTGGCACCTACCTCAAAAGGGGCATATGGCAGTTCCAGCATCCACCCAGTACCTTGCAGCATTCAGCACTTCCAAGGCTTGTTATTAAGGCAGAGGTGTGTGTGGTGTGTGTGTGGTGTGTGTGTGTGGTGTGTGTGTGTGTGTGTGTCAGATTTCAGTTACCTTGGCTGGGGCTTTCCGATGCCTCAAAACCTGGGGTCTGGCTTCCTGCTTCTCTCGTTCTGTGGCCATGCTATTTTACACTGAAACACTTGGCATGCCCTTTGAGAAAAGCCAAAAGGATTCTGAATCCTTCCTCTGAGGGGATTCAGCTGGTGTATACCTTGTGAACAGGTACCTAACACCTGCTTGGAAAGGTTATTAATACAGCATTTAAGACTATTGTCTTTTCTAAATTACTTACTGTCAACCCACCTTCCCAGGCAAGCTCTGCCCTAGCCACACAATGGCCAGCCCTCCTATTTACTGTTTAAATTCAAGGTAGGGAAAAATTGCACTTGAGAATGAATCATCCATTTTATTTTATTTTGTCATGTGCTCACAACCTCTCCTCTCCCTTCCCTGGCAGGTCACAGATAAATTAAAAATAAAATCTACAAGGAAAATAATTTATAAAAGCACTCCCAGGCTCATGCCTTCTATCCCTACTGCTCAATTAATGTGTTACCCCTCCCCCAAAGTGGGGAGAACCAGCATTTCCCCTATTCAACTCCTGCTAGTCCAGATTGTACCCCAGAACCAGACAAGGAGGGGGAGGGGCAGCAGTAGCACACAGTTAAAAATAAAGACACTGGTCCTGGAACCATATGGCCACCTTGGCAGTCCCCTCTCTGCTTCCCCCGGGCAGTCCTCCAGGAGCCCTTGCTGAGCTCAGGGTGCTGAGAAGTTGCCTATGGCCAAGAGCCTGGGGCAGGGGAAGATGCTGTAAACCTCCATTCATGCACTTCTAATCCTCCTAGGAAGAAACTCAAAGAAGAAAGCAGACAGAGACCTCAGGACGGAGGAGAAAAATCCCAAATGTTCACACAGTTACACGGAGTCTTTATGGCAAAAGAGAACATTTAGCAGCTTTGAATATTGGGGTATCTCCTTTTTACTCAACACAAGCATCCTAGACCCTATAAGTGAAACAGGGCTCAAGCCCTAAAAAAATCAAAGCGCAAGAAACTCTAAGAGGACTAGTATTTTGTTGCTGGGTTTTGTTTTGGCTTTTTCCAGTGACAAGCCCAGTTGGTGGTGGGAGGTCTGAGGGGTCACTCCCCAGTGTTGTGCTGAATACTACCTGGCTTTTCCACATCATCCCCCTGCCTCAGCGCAGCCCCCAGAAGGCTGTAGGCCCATCACTGGGGGCACTGCCAGCACCCAGCTACAGAAGAGCTCTGGGCAGCTGGTGAGGGGCAGGGAAGAGAACAGCATTTGCATGCAGGCTCTGATGAAGTCATGGGAACCTCAGCTCAGGGGTGACTGGGCACCAGGGAGATGGAGTGGCGGGACAGTAAGTGGCATGCTTGGTGTTGGGGCTGCTGCAACACGGGGCCTTGTGACCCTTTCCTGTTCAGTATCCTTTAATCCTAACCCTCTAAACAGGTGTCGGGTCCTGGTAGCTCCCCTTGTTGAAACGTTCAAGGAGTTATCTAAGAGCTCCCCTTCATGGATATCAAAGTGTGGGAGCAGAAAGAGTTCACAAAGCCCTTCCCAGAACTCACCTTGTCTGTGTCCACCCCTCCCCTGGAGTGAAGTGGGGTTTACTCACACCAATGACCTAGTCCCACCTAAAACCTGCTGCCTGGAATCCTGGCCAGATTCAATCTTAACCTGCAGTTTTTTCTTCCAGCTTTGATTTTGTTTTTTGTTTTTTTTGGTTTTTCTTTCCTTCCTTTCTTCCTGGAATGAGACTTTCTACTACTTTTCTCTCCTCTCACAAGTCCCTTCCTTCCCCTTTGTCGGCCTCCATCAATGCCATCACCACCCCCACCCCTTCCCTCAAAGGAAAGGGGGATGGGTGAAGACCCTGTCCACCCAGACAGTCTGGCAACTTCGACATTCCCCAGTGGGGGAAGCTGAGCCAGACAGTGCCTATGCCCGCCTCTTCCTGTCCACTGACCCACAGTCATCCCATCTGAGATCTATTGGATAACAAGGCATTCAAGTCCCCCACTGTAGGTCCAGGTCCAGGCCCAGCCCTTCTCCAGTTTCAATCTTGGTGAGTGTCAACCCCCCTTCCTCCCCAGGCTCACTTTCTCCGGTCCTTCGGCTTCCTCTCCTGCCGCCGGGCCTGCTGGTCAGCCAGGGTGCGGGGAATGAGGAGGACACTTCCATCCCCAGCGTACTGGAGAGCATACTGACTGGGCGAGTAGGGTTGCCCATTCTCATCTCGCAGCCGCCCAAACACCTCCTGATACAGGCTCTGAACCTTCTGCTTCATTTGCCGCAGGGACCGGAGGAACTCTACCTTCTCCCGCAGCAGTCGGGCTTTATCGCGCTGCAGGTCCTCCACATCCCGCTTCAGGTTCAGGATGGTGTCCAGCTTGCGCTTCCGGCAGTTCTGCGCTGCCATCTTGTTCTTGCCCCGGCGCCGGATATCCCGGATGAGGCTTAGCTGGGCTTCGCTGAGCTGGTATTTGGACAGCAGCTCGTTGAATTCCTCCACAGGCAAGTTGATGATTTTGTCATTGGTGAAGGGGATCTTCATGGCTCGGGCTCGATGCTCGTCCCGGCTCATCTGCTTGTCAGAGTCAAGGGCACTGGGTGCCATGTTGTACGTGTGGTTGTGGCCCACATGCTCCAAGTAGGGCAGGCAAGAGAGCTGAGACGGATCCTGGTAGCTCATGCGGCAGAACTTGGAATATTCGGGCTGGTAGCCCACAGCGCCCTCCACCTCTTCTAGATCCAGGGTTTCAGAGTCAGAGCTGTAGCCAACAGCACCTTCCTCAGAAAAGGAGGAAGAGGCTGAGGAAGAAGCAGAGGAAGAAGAGGAAGAAGAGGAGGAGGAGGAGCTGCCTTCAGAGCTGCTCAGGGAGGAAGGGCTATGGCTAGAGTCCAAGGAGAGGCCTGAGTCAGAGTCAAATTCCTCTTTAAGCTGGGAGGCCTGCACAGAGTTAAAGCCTTCTTCAATGGCCAGGTCCATCAGGCTGATCTCATCTAGCATGGCTTCATCTAACAGACCCCCCAGTGGGTCAGGCAGCTCAGGGCCTGCTGTGTCATTGGCTGTGCCATTGAGCTGGGGTGGAAAGAAGAGGCCTGACAGGTTGGTGGAGCCAAAGGTGGAGTTGAGGCTGGTGGAATTGCTGGGGACCAGTGGGAGCAGTGTGGAGCTGCTGGCCACAGGCAGGCTCTCCACCTCAGGGCTGAAAAGGGAGAAGTCCTGGCTGCAGCCCCCCAGGGATGCCTGATGCAGGCTGACATTCTGATTGATGGGAGTGTTGGGGGCAAGGCTATAGTTGGTGCTCAGTGGGTCTCCAGGAGGGTTATTGTAAAGGATCTCATTTGTTGATGTGTTCACTTCCATGGCCTGAAAGGGAAGAAGAGTGTCACCTTTTACTCAGAGTAGACTCCCCCCAGCCAGGTGAAGCTGAAGCTGAAGGCTTATATGAGCAGACACCCAACAGGCACAACTGCATGGGTATAAAAACAAGAAACTGGAAATCAGAGCCCACGGCATCAGCTCCTGGCCCTAGTTGGTCCACCAGGCCTGGCAGAGATGGGTTCCTTCATATGGACTCCACTCCAATGCAGGACTGACCAGCTCATGTTTGGCCAGACTCCCCCATCTTGAAGAGAAAGTAAGCAAACACCTAACACTGACTACCTCTTCATTGCAACATCAGCATGGTAAAAAAAAAGACCAAGCCTTGGAATGAGAAAACTTAGCTGTACCACTTCCATGTGACCATGGGTATATCACGTAACCTATCTGAGCTTCCATGTCCTCACCTATAAAATAATAAAGGGCTGCCCTAGCTGGTTTGGCTCAGTGGATAGAGCCTTGGCCTGCGGACTGAAGGATCCTGGGTTTGATTCCAGTCAAGGACACATGCCCGGTTGCGGGCTCGATCCCCAGTAGGGGGCATGCAGGAGGCAGCTGATCAATGATTATCTATTTCACTTTCCCTTCCTATCTGAAATCAATAAAAATGTATTTTAAAAATAAAGGGCTGACTAGATAACTGTGCCAAGTGAAATAACGGTGGCTGTAAAGCATTACATGCACGTCAGCTTAATGATAAACCTAGGGAGCACCCAGCCAAGTGATTATCTGCTTGAAGGAAAAAAGGAGGCATACCTAGGAAGCAGGCCCACTCTAAAAAGCTCAAGCCCTGGGGTTGACTTGACCCCGTATCTCCCCAAGGAGATACGTACAGTTACCTCTCAGTGTTCTCACTTTCCTATGCATCAGACAGATACGTTACTCTTTCTCTTCCCAGAGAGGGAAAAGCAAGTGCTAAGATACCCCACACAAGGTCCCATGAGTTTGTGCTCTGATAGTCCTACCTGCATTTCCATGATGGACATGAGATCTTGCCACTGCTGTTCCAAATCAAATGGTGACTCTGTCCCCGTCAGGAGAGGAGACAAGAGGTTGTTCTGAAGACCTGGGGGCTCACTCTCACTAGGCACTGCTTCGGTTAAGCTGGAAATGTCTGCTGGAAACTAGGGCAAAACACAGAGACTTCAACAAAGAAAAAAGGAAAGACCAGCCTTCTGCTTTCCTCCCAGAGACTGCCATCTGAGGTTCTGTTCCTTCCTGATTTCACCCCCAGCGGCCAGGACAAGGCCAGCACCAAGAGTTGGCCTCTCAGGCAGCCCCGTAGGAACATTGTGTGCAGGCTACCCTGCTGACTTGGTGGGCTCTCCCTGAAGTCCTGCTCACCTCAGCATTCTCCCCAAAGGGGCAGGTGGACTCCAGCAGCCTAAGGCACAATTCCAAGGACTGGGCTGTCTGGTTCTCCCCACCAGGCACCTGTGGCAACAGCAACTGTAAGTCTGACTGATCTGGGCTTTGGCTGCCTGCAGGCTTCCCCAAGGGAACACTGAAGGAAGACCTGCGTGGTCGTAGGCCCACACTCTCCCCGTTTCCGGGCTGATGACAGACCGTAAGTCCCAAACTCCAGGGGAGAACAGGGAAGGTAAAAGTCCTGATGCAAGTAGGAATCTGCTAGGTGCTTTGCCTTCTCTGTGTGGTTTGTTACCAGAGCCTGGCCCCTCTACTTCTATTCATCCACTCTTTTCTCAGCCCACTCACTGTGAGACCCCAACCCAAAGTATACACTCAGGTCCATCCCACCAGACACAACCGCCTTCTCTAAAGATAAGTTTCCTGGAGTGAGCAGAGGTGGGAGTACCTGGGCAGGGAAGCTCTCCCCAGTTTCTCCATCCACTAGCAGGTTTCGTGCCAGCACTTCTTCTCCTTCTCCTGGCCAGGTGTCCTCCTGCTCCACTCCATCTTGTAGTTCCTTATCCACATCTTGTTCTTTCTGGCGATGACTATAGTCAAAAATCTCACGCCCAGCCCCCAGGTCAATATCCTGTCGCCAAAGTATGTCAATCAGATCTATGTCCTGAAAGACAGATCACCGTGACTTTAGCTCTGGATCTAGGGGCCCCTTTCTGCCTCTCAAGAGGTCCTTCCTAACATCGCTCCGATAATTCCCTCCCAGACCTACAGCTCCCAGCCTCTACCCCCCGCCCCCCACTCTGCATCAGCAAGGCTTCATCCATCCATTTCCAGGCACCAGCCTCCAAAAAACCCAAAACCTAGCAAAAACCAATAGCATACCCATCACCATACCAGTCTGGGGGCTTAGTATCTGCACCAGAAACACTCCAGCTGAAAGGCAGGGCACCTCATTGCTATGCAAGAAGGAAGGTGGAAGTTAAGAGGCATTTCTCATTTGGGGAATGGGAATCCCTTAAAACAGGGTTTGTAGGAAGCTGGCAAGGGCAAACTGTCATGCAGAATTGCTTCGATGGTGGCCAGGCTTGCATCAGCCTATGGTACCATTTCATTTGCATAAAGGGGTGGGCTGGGCTGGAGAGGAAAATCCCTGCATTTGCAACCACCTGATGAAACCAATGACAATGACAGGCTGTCACCAGCCATTCCCCCTTCCCTGGCTGAGGCAGGAGTAAGGCTGAACACCCACAACTCTTAAAGCCCAGGCTCACCTCAAGATCCATCCCTGCCTGAATCCTCACTCTCCAGCTGATCCTAACAAGCTGCCGCTCCCAGGAGAGCTTCAAGCAGTCAGCTGATCCTCACTGGGCACCCCACCCCTGCCAAGGCCAGCCCCATAGTGCCCCCTCACACCAGAGCTCTCACGCCCTTACCACACCCCAGGACTCACTGACTCCCCATCAGTCAACCCACTCAAGGACATAGCCTCCATCACCACTTGGCCACAGCTGCTGCCTCAGGTACCAAAACACCCCCTCCTGCTCTACCCTGGTGGCTCCTGCACCAACTGCGACCCCCCACTGCCACCAGCATAGAACCCCAGTAAATAGCTACTGGAGCTTTTCTACACATGACACCTCCTTTAGCTAAAGAAACCCTACTGTTGGCTTCCATTCAGGTTAAGCCGGCACTTTTCAGAAAGCAATATCCTTAGATTAGACCCACCTCCCTAGCCCTTATCAGGTATCCTTTCCCACTATAACCCTCCTTGATCCTAAGACCTCCCACCAGGTGTACCTCTCCTTTTGGTCTCCCCGCATACACCAACCTGAACAGAAGCCCTGGACCCAGGAGCAGAGTGGGGCTGGGCCACCCGTTGACCAGCCAGCAAAGAGTTAAGGGGCCTGCTCCCTTTGGCAGGGCCCCCACCACTGTGAGAGCTGCGGTCCAGGCGGGTCATGTTCTGCGAGATGAGCCCCAGAGCAGCCGGTGCCGGGAAGCCGGACAGGGGGCTGCAAGGAGCTCTTGGCTGGCAGGGAGCACACCAGGCTGGAAGGGTGGCCCCGTGCTAGCTCGGAGGGGCCTGAGGAGGTGCCCCGCCCGTACAGCTGCCTGGGCGGCCCAGCCCAGCCCTCTTCCTCCATCCTTGAGCAGCCCCCTCCCACCTCACAACCCCAGTTCCACTCAGGCGCCCAGCAGCCCCCACCCTGAGCTCACCGCAGAGGCTGCAGTGAGATGGGACTCCCACCCCATGCTCCGTGCTCAAGCTGCAGAGGAAAGCAAGCTTCCTCCTAGGCCTATCCTCCCACTCCTCCCTCTCTTCCCATCCCCACGCCCCCCAAACTTGTTACCTAGGCTGCAGCAAGGAGCCAATCCCCTCCCCCTCCCACCCCGCAGGTCACTGCTGAGGCTGCGGAGAGCCAATCCCCTCCCCCAGGTCAGCAGCTGGGCTGCGGAAAGAGCCAATCCCCTCCCACTGTCGTTACCTAGGCTGCGACGAGAGCCAATCTCCTCCCCCAAGTCTCCGCTGGAGATGCGGAAAGAGCCAATCCCCTCCCACCGCCTGTTACCTAGCTGCAGCCCAGAGCCAATCTCTGCACCAGGGCAGCTGGAGAAGCTGCCGCAAGGAACCAGCCCATCCCGGGGCCGCCTCCTCTCCTCAAGGAGACGCACCCAGGGGCGGGCAGCCCCACCCAGCCCAGAAAGCCAGTGCGGGTGGGGCAGTGAGAGCCCGGGGGGAAGGGGTGCCACTCCTTCCAGTCGCATCCAGCTTACCCAGCCCACTCAGGACTGGGCAGACACTCCTGAAGCTACTGCGGGAATTTAAGTTCTTCCCTGGAAATGGAAGTTTTCCCGTTCCTCAGGAGGACTGTGGCCAGTTGTCCTCAAGCCCAAGGATGACAAGCCAGGCTGGGCAGGAACCCAGTGTATCCAGACCCAATGTGAGCCGGGGCTTTGTCACTCTACAACAGGCCAGATGAGAGGAAGGGAAATGCCATTTGCCCATGTGCAGCCATGTCACAGTGCTGGCCAGGCCTACCAAGAAGTGGGAGCCATGAGCCTGAAGGCCAGCACTGAAGGAGACAAGTGTTCTGCACCGCCCACAATGTTGGGGCCACAAACATGTCCCCCACTCCCTTTACCCTCGCTTTGCTCAAGAGCATTCTCCGCCTGACCCTGGCCCACATCTCTAAAGAAGGAAAGAAAGCCCTGACAGAATCAGCATCACATTCCGACTCCGACCCTCACTGCTGCTCCCCTTGAGCCGAAAGTCAGGTCAGGGACAGTGTGCTCTCCTCGGTCACAGACTGCTCCTCGCCTGGGAAGAGCTGTACACAGGCCACCCTTGCCCCAGGCAGCACGCCAACCTCGAGGGGAATCCTATCCCTGACAAGGGCCTGGGCTATGGCTGTCCATCGAACAGGCCTGGCAGCAGGGGAGCACTGCCACCCAGGGATAATACCAGCTCCAGCAATGCCTGTCACATGCTCTAGACCTGGGTATTTTTATCCCTGAGTTGCTGAGGAAATGTTGTTCTAGACACATAATAATCCTCCCTTCCCCCATACCCAGCCTGGGCCCCTAATGCTGACCCACCGCCAGCCCCCAAAGGGAGTAGCGAAGGCCGAGTGTCACAGAAAACATAACCTTCATGAAGGCCAAGAAATGGAGGAAAGCAGGGTCAAAGTCCCACCCCATTCCACTCCAACCCAGCCACATCACATCCCAAACATCCCATCCCAGGAGCGCTCCCAGCAGGAACTGGAATGGAGCTCCCCCTGCAGGGTTCCCAAGAGCAAGCCCAGTTACACCCCTTCCCTTGGGGAGCTACACTGGGGCAGGAGGAAGACCAGGGTGGGAGGCATACGTCTTCAGACCACTGTGCCAAGGCGAGTCCATCTGAAGTAAATGGACAGAGAAGGAAGAAGAGAGGTTCAAGTTCCCAATGGCGCTGTAAGAATCTAAGAAAAAATGCAATGCGGCAAGGGGAGGGTAAGCTAGAAGGGGGCAATGGGGCAAATAAGGGGATGACATATGTAAGACTTTAAACAATAAAGATTTTTCTTAAATGCACTGAAAACCCTAGCCAGTGTGGTTCAGTGGACAGAATGTCGGCCCTCGGACTGAAGTATCCCGGGTTTGATTCCGGTCCAGGGCACATACCTTGGTTGCAGGCTCAACCCCGGCCCTGGTCAGGGCACATGCAGGAGGTAACCAATCGATGTGTCTCTCTCACATGGATGTTTGTTTCTCTCTGTCTCTTGCCCTCCCTCCCACTCTCTACAAATCAATGGAAAAATATCCTCGGGTGAAGATGAACAGAAAATGCACTGAAAGGTAAGGAATGCTCATGTCTCACATGCTCAGATAATTCTAATCTCTTTCAAAGTAGCTCCAGTGTGAGCCAGCTGAACAGTAAAGCAACCGGGCACTACTGACATTTGGGGCCAGATCGGTCTGTCATTTGGGGGACTGTTCTGTTTTTTTAGGAAGTTTAGCAGCATCCCTGAACTCTCCTCACTAGATGTCAACAGCACCTCTAGTTGTGACAACCAAGTGTCTCTAGACATGGCCACATGTCCCCTGGGGAGCAAAATCACCCCCAGTTTAGGACCGCTGGCCCAGGGGAAGCCACACGCTTTGAGTCACTAACATTCAGAGAACTGAGCTCAGGAACAGGCTCAAGTGCAGGACAGAAGAAAAAACCTGGTCTGACTAGTGGGCAGAAAGAGCCAAGTTCAGTATCTGTAACACTTTTTACATCCCCTCTCCCCACCCAGCACCACCACCAACACTCAGGTCTGGAAAACCCAGCCTAGTGCAATCCAGTCTTCTTTTCTTAATGGCCGGAAGACTGCAGTGGGCCTTTCTTCTCAAACTCCTTGGGGTTGAGTGGCAAGCCAGAGCCAAACATAGAGCTCAGAGCCATCTTATCATCATGTTGGTGGGACAGGGGCAGTTGTAGCCATTCACATTATTAAAATCAATGACATCACTTTCTGCCCAGAACAGTATGTCAGCCACATGTCAGGAGCTAAAGATCTGACAGCTCAAAGCTAGCGGACTCGGGCAACAGAATGCATTTCCTCTTCTGCTCCCAGCCTCACCTTCCTACTCCCTACAGTGGGCCTTTAGCAAAGAGGGAGGCTTGGTCCTCACTGGACCGAGAATAACTATCTAAATCTACCCCTTGGCTCAGGCCCAGGACAGCGGACTTATCAGGACCTTAAAACAACAACAGGACTGACCACAAGGGAGTAGAACTTCAGGATATATATGTGTGTTTTGATGTGGGGGGAGGTACAAGGCAAGAGTCCACAAAATATTTGTGTCTTAGCAACAGATATACACGGCATCAAAGCCCATCACAACATGACTCCCTCCCCCATCCCGGGGCCTCCAGGAGTCATGTTGAAATCCAAGCAGTAAACACGCTGGCATGTTCTAGGAACCTCCCACTGCCCTGACGGTACATTTAGAGGTGGGTCAATGGTTCAACACAGGAAATGCTGCTCCCGGGCCCCAATCCTAGTCAGACAATTCAGCTCATTCCTATTCAAGAACAATGCCTGAGACATCCCCCCACCCCCAGCCCAACCTCTGGCTCTTTACAGGAGTTAGTACCATAGACCACAGTCCTCCAAAAAAAGGCCACTAACCTCTTTGGTTAAGTCTCCACTGACTGGAGGGGCTACAGCCCCCAAATCCTCCAAATCTTCACTGAATCCCTGCTCCGTTTCGCTTTCTCGCACCCCGTTGTCTGGGCCTGTCACATCCTGGAGGCTGCTGGAGCTCTCGAGGGCAAGGCCTGAGCTGGGCTGGCTGCCGGACACAGACCCCTCCGGGTCCCGGTGGACCAGCCAGGCGTTCACCTCGGTGGTGGGCACCTGGAACCTGTCCAGGGCCCTCACCTGACTGAGGAGCCGCCGGGCAGTGAAGTAATTGTCCAGGTCTATGCTCTTGGGGTGGATACCGTAGCCATCCAAGGTATTCCTCAGGTTGTGGAACTGGGTCTGAGTATAGGCAGAACTGGGCCCCAGGATGATCTCCCGGAGTGGGGGGAGCTGTGAGGTCAGGTAAGTATCCACGTCCACCCGCACCCCAATCAAACTCAGCAGAATGGTGAACTGGAGGAGTCCTTCCGTTAAGTATTTCTTCAGAGAAAGCATTGCTGAAGGACCACAACGTTTGTGTTTTTTGGTTTTTAAATCTTCCAAAAGACAAATCAAGGCCACTGCTCTGCTGCTCCAGCCAGCACGTCACCCCCCACTCAATGCCAAACCCCAACCCGGCCCTGGCAGAACACAGGGGCTGAGCTCCCTGACGGCCTCAGAGGAAAGCACAGCCCGTAGAGCCAAGGCCACACTCCAGACCACATTCACTTGTCCCCTCTGGACGCCTCACCTCTGAGAGGACCACAGTTCCTAACCCAGTCCAGGCCCTCGGGGTCCACGTGACTTACTGTCTCCACCGTCCACATACAGTCACTTCCTCACTCACATTAGTTGTCCTCTGTCGATTCCACTGCGGGCTGTTCTCAGGAACAGCTGATGGGGGGTGGTGGTGTTGTTGTTTGTGGGTTTTTTTGGTGTGTGTTTTTCTTCCTAAGGTTTATTTTCTTTGGCTGGAGCTACAGGCCTTTTGTCTTGGGGTCAGAGTGTCCCACCTCCTCCACTCTTACCAGGAGGGTTTCCAGAGAAACCTGAAATGGGAATCACAGAGCAACAGGGTAAGATGCCATAATTTTCACACCCTGATCAAGGCAGAAGGTAGGAAACCCATTAAAAGGCCACTTTTACAAGAGGAAAAATAAGTCAGTCATTATACGCCCTGAACAAAAACCTTTTATAGACACAACTATGAAAGGAAGTATTGCTCACAAAGGATCAAAGGATCCCTGTTTCTGCAGATGAAACTCGCCAGGCCCTAAAACATGGCTTGTTATGAAGAAGCAGACCATGCCCAGAGCATCCAAAATATTTTACCTGCTGTCTGACTCACCAACCCTCCCCTGCAGCCCAGACACACACCACCCAGCTTCTCCTTCAGCACCAGTCCACTGCCCATCTCCAAGGAACGCTGGCTGCCCATCTCTGGAGAAAAGTGCCTACAATCCTTGTCCCTCCCCACTTCCCACGGGGAGGGGGCGACCGTTCACGGATGAGAGTGTGAAAGGACACGAGGAACACGGCCAGGCCACCACGTCATAGGAGAGGACGATGCCTTTTATTTTCTCAACTTTGAAATCTGATTTCCCTTTCCCATCTCACATTTAAAAATATAAAAATGGG